AATTCCAGATTTAATAAATGTACCTTTAACTTCAAACAATAATTCGATCTTACCACATGTAAACAAACAGCACGGCTGCTAGGCCTATGTATCAGTTTTTACCTCCCCTCGCTTCCCATCACTTCCGTTACTTCCGTTACTATGGTTGTATTATTGAGCGGCAAATTTGAACTAATAAAAAGCAACGAAATTTTACACCCATAGTTATTTATTGATTTTAAAATTAAATTATAAGGAATGACTCTAATTCTTGGCCAAATTATTCGAGTATAACCTGGTTTGGGTCAGTTTACGCTGTTTTATTATCCGCTTTGCGGATTATAAAGCGTAACAGACCCAAACCAGGTTATGCTCGAATAATATGGCCAAGAATTAGAGTAATTCCTAAACTATATATATTTACGTTTTATGAGTTAAATTCATCCTCTTTTAAAGAAAAGTAACATTTAACACACAAGAAAAATATCGCAACTTAAAAACACATTCGCATAAGATCAATACCATTTTCTGTTAAAAAAAAAATGTTGAAATTGGTTAATGTATGTCTTAATTCATATTTATCCTATTTCATTTACGATTCTGACGGTTAAAAAAATCCACTTCCCCCCTATAAAAATGTCTACTCAAAAATATACGAAAGAGGGTATACTTAAATTTTCAATTATCACGTGATCGGAAAATGCGTAACATAGATTATTTCATATTTTTTGGAAGATAAGGAGTTTTCTACAAAATATCAAAATTTCATAAAATTTCGTGAGGGGCCGAAAAACGGCCTTATCGAAACTCCCCCTTTTTAAATTGGTTCCCAGTAAGTATTTTTACATCCAGAAAACTTTTAAATGCTAATGTGTCAATGAATACTATAAATACATTAGTAAGATTTAGAACTAGTAATTGTAAATTGCCAATCGAGATGGATCGATGGAAAAATATACATTTAAACTAAAGACTTTGTACTTTATTTGAAAATGATACTGGAGATGAATATTATTATATAATGTCATATCCAGCTTTAAACAAATCTATAAAATTGTATCTACCATCAACATATATAATACGACCAAGTGCTTTTACCATGTTTAAGTTTTTTTTATTCATGTAAAAAGGTATCTGTCATCGATAACCTTAGTAAAATCATTAATGTAATTAATAAGAGAGTCACCCTTCCAGGTTAATGTAAATTGTACACTCTTGCCTCATGTATTTTGTTTGATATTGTTCTTTATCTTCTCTAAGTTGTTATATTTACATTTTCCAACGTCTTTGTCTGTTTCAGTTCTTTATTCCGTGGGAGGTACATCCCATAAGCATTACTGTAAACAGTACAATATTATATATATATAAATCAATTACATACATAGCACAATAGCATATGCATGAACCTCGTGAAACGAATAAGTATTGTTACATATACGTAAAAATGAATTTCACATTGGTTTCTATGTTGCAAAAACCATTAGGAAACAAACCTAATAGTTTCAGCGTACGGAAACCCTACAGAAACTTGCTGATACTATTATATATATAACCATACAGGAAACTTCAACATCAAGTTTCAGCAAGGTTTCCATATAGTTTCAGTATTGCGGAAAGTGGACATTTCATCCAGTGCATGTTATACACTTACAAACTTGTGATACTTACATAGTATCATATGGCTGATTGTTTTAAGCATTTTAATCGTAATTTATTAGCATCACACACACACACAGACACACACACAGATATATATATATATATATATATATATATATATATATATATATATATATATATATATATATATATATATATATATATATATATATATATATATATATATATATATAACTCTGATTTAAGGACTAGGGAGACCAGACCATTATATATGGCTTAAGGAGACAATATACAATTTTTTTAAATTTGCTTTTTTCTAAAAAGAAATACCAGATCAAAGATCTATAGAACACCATTTAGTCGACTCTTGCTTTATTTTTTCACAATAAATGCCTCCTAAAAATATATGAAAAAAATGGTCTCCTTAATATTTTATGTTTCTCTCATATGACTTAAGGAGACCAGTGTATATTTTTTATAAATATAACTTGTGGTTTAAGTAGACCATTTTTCTTTCATAGTAATTTCACTTATTATGCATTAATTAACATATTGTTTCCAACCAGAATAGTTGCGGATGGTCATTAGTCAAGGTCAGCAGAAAGATATTTGTGCTAATGTGACTCAACATGATCAGTACAAAACGTTGAATTAAACTAAAGTTTATCATTGCACAAGTGACTTAAATGGAGAGTAGTTGCCCCAGTGGCACAGTGGTTAGAGCGTCTGCTCTAGAGTAGCGAAGTAAGGAGTTGATCCTTACGTCGCAGGTTCAAATCCCACTGTGGGATGGGGAGACCGGTCCTTCAGATGAGACCGTATAAATCGAGGTCCTGTGTCGCAGTAGGTGCTGGCACGAAAAAAATCCCTCGATGCTCATTGGCCGTAAGTGCCGATATAGGACAAAATTTGCAGATCTCCACCGGCATGTGGTGGTGTCTCCATTTGAGTGAAAAAATCTTGAGAGGAATGTTAAACAACATACAATCAATCAATATATAGAGAGTATAAGCCCAGAGTAGCTTGTTCTGATATCCACATTTAACTCTCAATGCTGTCGCCCACGTGGTGCAGTGGAAAGAGCCAATGCTCTAGAGTCGTGGAGTTAGTTGATCCTTTTCTCACATGTTTGAATCCCACTTTGGGACGTAGAGACCGGTCCTTCGTACAAACAGAGGTCCAGTGTCGCAGTAGATGCTGGCATGAAAAAGATCCCTCACTGCCCATTGGCCCTGAGTGCCGAGCATAGCTCATTTGCAGCTCTCCATCAGCAAGTGTTGGCATCTCCATATGAGTGAAAAATTCTCCAGAGGGACGTTAAACAACAAACAAACTCTCAATGCCCAAAACAGTTTAACCTAAAAGTGAATGCAGACATAGATTATTCTTTAAACCAAGTATAGTATACTCCATATTGTTTTGTTGAGGACACAAAGTTCACAGTGGACTTCAAGTAGTTTTTCCTGCTATTCATACCAAGCTTCTTTTAAACCATATAGTCACTGAGTGCATTCGCTTTCCAACTAATTGATGAAGTTCTGACCTATGCCTATATTTGTTTAAATTCTTTCTGATTTAAGAATACATTTGACCAGTTGAAACCAAGAGTACATGTACTACATAAAATTTCAAGGTTGTGATTAAGATTCAGTAAAAGTTATGCCCCATCCAGTATAGCAATATGTGGATGCCATGTTCAATATACATATTTGCTATCATTAAACTTGCAGAGACCATGAATCAAAATAATTCAAATGCTTAAAAATCATTTTATTTTTACTGCTAGTCAAAATACAGTCACTCAAGCATATCCTTTGTTAATTTGAAAAAAAAAAAATGATAGTTTAACATTTATTATTAATACCATACCAAAGCACAAGATAGTGCACTTCTTACATAATCCAATGATTCATGCTGTGATTTTACCTATTTAGATGTTTCTTATTTACAGTTCAGTATACATGATATACCAGTACAATGTGACACTAACCTAGTGTCAGCTAAATGGATCATTACTACTCTGTTTTTAATGTTGATACATTTATTGATTGCATATGCTAAAAACTTTTATAAAATATCAAACATTGTATCATAACAGCTTTTACAAATGAATTCAATACATTCAAAGGTACAAAAATCAAATTATTTTCATCCACAGTTTTATCATATTCAGTTGAACAACAGCTACATCTATTATATAAAATGTATGGTAGTTGGCACTGATGGTATATATATCCTGAGCAAAGAAAAAACATACCTAATCAAAGAATACAAAGCTCACTTCTATAAATGTTATCTACTAGTAAGGCAAAGTCTCACTCAACAAACACTCTGGTAATGTATATCACCTGGATCCAAAATCTATGCAAGTTGGTCTGGGTTAGATTTAACTGCTCAATAATCCTGAAAATGTATGTTACATCCAGCATCAGAAGCAGGATACATCATCTATGTTTACTGATCACCAAAGAGTATATTGTTACTTTGAATGAACCTTCTCTAAAAAACTGGTCATTAATCAAGAAAATCTAAGTCAAATCAAGGATTGGTACCCTGAAACATTTACATGTACATACATCATCTTTGCAGGTTTGTTCAACATAGAGTTTATAATTACATGAGAATAGGACTGCTCAAAACACTTAATCTTGTGGAGTCCCCCATGTGGCGCAAAGGAGAGAGTTTGTAATCTAGAGTCGCGAGTAAGGATTTAATCCTTAAGTCTCAGGTTCAAATCCACTGGGGTTGTGGGGACCAGTCCTTCAGATTAGACCATATAAACTGAGGTCCCGCCTAGCAGTTGATGTGGGCACAAAAAAGATCCCTTACTGCTCAAGGCCCTGAGTGCAAAGTATAGGTCAAATTTTGCAGCTCTCCACCAGCAAGTAGTGGCATCTCCATATGGATGAAAAATTCTTGAGAGGGATGTTAAACAACAAACAAACAAAAACAAAAAAAAAACACATGAGGAAAGTGTAGATCAGGTCAAGCATCTGAAGTAAATCTGTTAATGTGCTTTAATCCATGCAAGTTTGTCCAGGTAGAGCTTAGGAATGAACCTTGCTCCTTAAATTTTAACTGGGATGACAATGCTAGGTATATAATAAGAACTCATCTAGACTGTCCAGAAAAGCTAAAAAAATATTTAGCAATTTCTTACTTGCATGATTTAAAAAAATCTGCAATCTAACATTATTTAAAAAAGAATTCAACACATTTTCTAATTTTCAACAAAATCAATGCACTATGAGACGATTTAACATTTCTTAACCACATACACTGTACTTAAAGTGCAATATACGAGGGGTTATCAAAAAGTTCGTGGACTGACGCGATAAAATTAATAATATGTAGTCTTTGCTTACAAAATTTATGCGGAACATAAAACAACAGAAGTTTAAGAAATGTTGAAAATTTTAGCTTGATACGTTGATAATTTGCCAAATTATTCTAAAATTAAAAAGACTTTATGTGATCACCCGGCGCTGTCGCCGTTTAGTGTCATGACGTCCGCTTAACGTCATTGTTTCTTAATGTCCGCTCTCTCTACCTCATACAATTATCTTGATGAGATTACCTGGAGTTAAGTATGGACTTAAACCCGTCTTATTTATATGAATTTATAATGTCATGAGCAGCTGTTTTCAATGCATATAATTTTGTAAATGGATCTTTATATGGGGAAAGATCCTCACCTGATTATGCCAGAATACTTAGCTTGTTGGAGTTCAATTTCTACCACACATGATCAACGTCACTTTTCGATGTGACTGACTTTTGACACCCTGACTACAAATCGACACTAACTGTGCATATTTCATCTCTCTGAATCTTTTTGGGCCTTAAAAACAAGTACTCTGGATGCATTTTATTTTTCTGTAGCCAGTTTAAACATTCCTTAGGTCAATACCAGTTTTTCCAGGAGCGAAACTCTATAGAGTGTTTGAAAAAGAAACCCCTCCCCCTTTTTGACGTTATTTTCAAGCCCATAATTGTTTGGACACTCCATATAAAATTTACGATAAAATTTCATAGAAATTACAGAATGGGGTAAAAATTGCAAATTTTACTGAACAAATGTGTCGTACCACATGCCTGAATTAACGAGATTTTTTGATGACAAATACTCATATCTAAAGAGTTTTTCTCAGTTACACTCAGGTAGAAAAAAACGTCATATTAGAGGTTGCGCCGCCTGGACATACCTTTGCTTACAAAAACACTAACAATTTATTAAAAAATAAAAATTATGATTTATGGTTTATTCTGTAGATAGAAAAGATGATGCTAACTAAATGTGTAAAAATTCATTGATGTACCTAAAGCGGTTTTAATTTTATGACGCTAGTCCACGAACTTTTTGATAACCCCTCGTACATGCATTATACTGTATGTTAAATCTTTACAGTTTTCTTCAAGTACTCTAATAGTATATGAAATATGAAGATTACCAACAGTGATCAAGCTTTAAAGTCCATTGAAACAATACATAATTAGAGCAGAGCAAACACAGACCTCTAAAAACACCAGGTGCAATGGAGGAGAAAGCATTTCCTGCCATGTGCTCCTTGACATGACTGGGCAAATGGAAAAATCCACAAACAATTCAGTGTAAACAATTTTGATGAAAAACATTAGTCAACATTCAACTTAATGATCGATTGAATTTGCTATAACAATTAATTTACACGTAAGTGTACACACATGTATGCATACTAGATGAATTATTTCACAATATCCAAAATTGGACAATAATAGTTTCTAATCTAGCTAGATAACAGGAAATTTTCATTATTACTTACATTACATGAAACTATTGAAGTCTGTGAGCTACAAATTATATCTAAAAATTATACACATTTTAACAAGTGTTTACAGTTTAGTGTATTTATTATACACAAATGATGACTTAGTAATTATGACATACTAGTAAAGTCCACAGATTGACTTCCAGATTTCAGCTCAAAGGCTTGAAGATTTTTAGTGGCTCTTTCATCATTTTTTTTTCACTGAATATTTTCATTTTTATTTTCAAGACGCTGTTTTTGTTGAGGTCTTTTAGCAGTTTGATGCAATCCAAGAACTCCAAGGGCAATTTAAGAACTCCTGAATTTCTTTCTTACCTGGAAAAAATAAAAATTTAAAAGTTTAAAATATATTCAACTTACATGAAGAAAACTAGTAAAACTAGTGATAATGTAATAGACCTTTCAGATGTTCCAAAGCAGCTACATGTATCTAATTAAAAAATATAAAGTTTGAAGTATTTAGAGTCACCTGTACTCTGAACATGGGATATATGTATTTGACAGACAGATGAATGAATAGACTGATCACTATAGAGCACCTTAGTCTTAATTTTCAATAATCTTTATATTAGTGAAAATCAAATAGGAACTAAAGTGTTTCAAGGAATGTATATGTCACCTGCTAGGTATCGTCATTAAAGAGGTAAATAAATCTAAGAGTGGTCAGCTATTAATTTAATATTAGCATGGAGGTTCATGCATTTGCCTGCAAGGAAAAAAAGGATCCAAAAGTAAAAGACTGGGATAGAATCTGGCAATCAAAGAAAATATGGTTCCCCAGTCCTCAAATGAATAATTTAATTGAAATTATGAGGAATAACTATTTATCATTTTATTAATACACATGTAGGTGCTTCCAACAATCCTCGGAGGAAAGGAATTTCAGACTGTCTTTACTTTAATTGTCACTTTGTCAGTCAACACGATTCATTGTGGAATACTGATCCCAATGTATTTTCATAGTATTTAAATATAAGTTTGTGTGGTAACTGAATTTCATACAGTTTCAAAGTATAGTATCATGAGCTCAAAAACATATATAAATGCTAATTATCAAAACCCTGCCTCTCAAAATTTTGGAGATATAAGGTGTGACAGACGGACAGACAGACACCAGGTAAAGTGATCTCTAAGTGTCGTTTTGCTCTGCAGTTGACACAAAAATGAAAGTTAGTCAATTTTTGACCATGTATATCACTTCAGTGATGAAAGGAATGCTGAAGTGGTAAGTCTATCCTAATTATTTGAAAATACGGCAACCCCATTGGTCAGAATATAATACATATGCTGTCCAGCCTTAATTTCATTGGCATAAAGCAGCACAAAACACGATTTGATTGGATGGTGCAACTTGTTTTTCTAGGGGACGCTGTTGCACCCCTGGAAAAGAAAACAGGACTGGGGCTTGCCCCTAGAGGGCACTTACTGACCGGAAGTAAACAAACAACAGAAATAGCAATACACTAGAAATATGTCCATAGGACATGTATGCCTGCCGAGTGTATAGTAATGCAACATGAAATTTTGTGTTAGTGTATGAAGTTTGATGAGAATATCTTGAAAAGTTTCTTTAAAATTGAAATTGAAATCTAAAAAAAATGGATATAGATGATAAATTCTCACCAAATTATGTATAGATGCATAGCCTTAGATATCAATATTTTAAATGGTTTTAAAACCATGCAAAATGCAAATTGAAGGAAAGTGAGGTCAAGGTCACAGGAAAGGTCAAAAGTTTTTGAAATAGTTGAATAGGTCTTACTAATTATATATGTATCAGCATATTAAGTTTGATAAAAAATATCTTGAATGATTTCTTTAAAACTGAGCTAGTCACAAGCGTGGCGCCATGGTTAGAGCGTCTGCTCTAGAGTCGCGAAGTAAGGAGTTGATCCTTATGTCGCAGGTTTGAATCCCACTGTGGGACATGGAGACCAGTCCTTTGGATGAGACCTTATAAACCAAGGTCCAGTGTCACAGTAGGTGCTGGCATGAAAAGACCCCTCACTGCTCAATGGCCATGAGTGCAGAGTATAGGACAGAATTTGCAGCTTTCCACTGGCAAGTGGTGGCGTCTCAATATGAGTGTAAAATTCTCGAGAGGGCCTGCAGATTACCTGTAATGATTGCGCAGCTATGTTTAGGCTTCCCGAAGCTTTAAAATGGGCTCAAAACATAATATGTCATTGCGAGGTTGGTTTTAGTTTTAATTTAAAAGTATTGAACTTAAGTACTTCCAATTTATATAGAGGATTTCCTCGGCTATGTATTAACATATTTGTTATGATATCACATGACTTTGCTGATCACGTGACGGTCATTTATAATTTTTTGAAGTGTTTCATATAAATCGCTTCGGCGCAGTTGATTTACACAATAATTATTAACATTTTGTTATAAAAATAAGCTCATCGTATCCTTGTGTATCCGAAATGTGCTTGGGAAAAGTCATAGTATTACTTAGATACAAAATATTTCCAGAGAAATTCAACTTACCTACAAATTTGAGGGTATTTTCCACACAATATCGTAATCTGTATTAAAACAAAGCCAACACACATTTTTCCCAAGCAAGATTCAGTTAGAGAACAACCTCTTCTTACAGATTTCAACAAAAATTCTCAGATTAATCCTCATTCTTCACCTGCGCCAGACTCTTTTATACACACTAAATAAATTCTACCTCCAACCACGGGTATAAAACAGAGTACATTTCAAAAGTATATTTTTCATAAGCATTTTGAACATGCTGAATTTCAATCAAGGGTAGGTAAGCGGTGTATTTTTAAAATATTCTGACATATACGACTTAAAAAAACCTTTAACGACCCGTGAATTTTGCAATAGCTACCTAGCATTTTACATGCAGTTTCAAATAAAGTGTAAAGTTCATGACACTCTCCCCGTCATAACACCTCAAGATTTCAGTGACTTGACGTCATTTTCCATTATGACGTCATATTTTGGTAGTTCAGAGATGTGAAGGCACAGAGTGCACTGTGATATTCTACGGGAAGCCTAACCTACCTGCGTGACCAAAATCCCTACTAGGCTTTAAACTCTTCATTCTTGACCTGTATTTCGTCAAATAAGATTTTTCCAGTTAATTAAGGTAAAATTACTAATTGTTAAAACTGTAAATGATTTTTTTTTTTTTAACCTGAGCCAGATTTTTACTTTTCTAAAAAGTGTCTGTATTTGACTGTTGGTTCCACCTATCTCAAGGAAATGATCTGTAAAAGCTAGTAAATGTTAGAAATCATAATCTGTTCTCTATCTACTATAATCATGAGAAAAGGTGTTGAAAATTAACAGATGGAGATAAAATCAGCAGTCATATTAAAGGCTTTTTTTCAATAATCAATTTATTAGTGAAAATCATAAAAGTATTAGGCAAAAAGGAAAAATAAATGTTGTCATTAATTAACCTTGCATATCTCTACAATTTTCTGATAAGAAAATTATACCCGATGGATGCAATATAATCACCCTTTGCCTGCCCCTAAATTAAATTATGAAATTTTGATAGATTTTGATCTAGTAAGCAATTATTTAAAACAAGGTTCTTTTAGAGGTGCCTAGGGTCGAAATTCATAGAAAAAAAAAAAACTACAAAAAACGTGAAAACCTATTTCAATCATACTGGTTTATATTTATTACAAATGTCCTCATAGTCAGCATAGCCCAGAACGATAGACCGCAGACTCTCACCATGAACATTTTTAGTGTCCTGGTTCGAAACCATTTGTTGGCACATTTTTATTTTTTCAAACTTTTTACCTGTATAAACACTAAAGAACGAGTGCACTTATGGGCCCCGGTAAAATGTGACAAAATGAAGAATTAAATTAAGCATAATTTTCCATCTCAGATCATTAATTGATATCTAAACCATAAGATTCAACAAATTTTATCACTGAAATTCATGAATATACAAAGAGCAAAGCCATACAATGTGGTAGGGGTCAGCCGACATTCGTGATTTTTTATAGTAAATCGAGGACGGTCATTCATTTCAAAGCTTTTGTTTATTGTCAGCCTAACATTGTACAAACTTGTGCGATTGACAAAAAATGCATTATACATTTATAAAACTTGTGTGAAAGTAGGAAAGAAGAAGGTACGGTTTTAGCTTTATTGTGCCCTAAAAACGTAATGTTTTCAAAAAGTTTTGAAACTGGCTTAAATATTAGTTGAGTATATGACTGTGATAAATCAGGAAAGAATATGGCATGAAGGAGTACCATTCTGGATATACGATATCATGAATTTGATTCATTTCTCTATTTTAAACAGAAAATGCCTCAAAATGACTCATTTCAAGGTTTATTTTCTTTAAGAAAATAGTGTCCACAGCCGTCGCCCACTTTAATTTTTGGATATGTTGTGTAAAATTCTTTAAAAAATCACATATCTCAAAATCTTTGTGGGCGATGGCTGTGGACAATATTTTCTGAAAGAAAATTCCATTGAAAATTGGTGTCTTCTGCAACTTTTTAAGAAAATACGGGAAATTGCACAAGTTTATGACGTCACAATTAGCATTTAGAAGGTCATGAGAGAAAAATGATTTCTATGATCTTTCTGCATGGAATTTCAATGATTCAGAAAGCACGAGTTTTAATTTTTCACATCACTTTCATTTTTAAGAAAAACACAGGGCAAGAATTGTATTGAAACCGTACCTTGTTCTTTGTACATGATTAGGCTTGTACTTAAAATATTAAAAATGTATGAAAAGTTCAATGTTTTTCCTATAACAAGCAAGAGCTATTTACCTGTATGACCTATGTTGAACCCACCCGTGGAATAAATTATTTAAAATACTGGTAGTCACGTGAGTTCTACCCAGGTAAACATTCCTCAAAGATGTTCACTGTAAAACATAACCACGTTTTGTATCATTATATCGAAGTCAAGCCACATAGAGAAGTTTGTATGTATTTAGTTTTAGGAACACAGGATGGTTAGGAGAGTTTAGTGTCCTTAAAATGTCATCATAATTAAAAGTGTCAAACATTTTTAACATTCATGCAAGACAATGGTACTGGTATTGAAAGCCACCTAAATACACTTTTTTTCATTTTAAAATTTAAAGGAACTAATGTTAATAGTTATTGTATTATTTCAAACGCAAGCATGCAAATTTCTTAGTTTGATCACTATGGATACAGGTATCTATACAACTTCATTCGATTTTTTTCTCGGGTAAAATAGCACAAGAAGTATCATTCGGCAAAAGTGGATGCTCTTGTGTATCGAATCAACTGAGAGATATAAACCCCATATGCAGGTAATGAAGGTATATTGCTGAA